ATTGTGCAGTGTGACATACTTAGATCGGTGCATCTGGACAGCAAAGGGTTAACCCTTCACAGAGCCGATACAGCAGGAGAAATGTGTGTGTGGCAGAGATTACGACAGGCTGCAGGAGGGAGCTTCCCCCTGCATTTGTGGGCTACACACGTGTGCAAAAACATTAAAATAATTTATTTTAAATAAACAATCCATGGCTCATCCATCAATCAGCCAATTGTGTCATGTCCGATCTTCTTTTGAAAAACTGTGATAAAGCGAATCTGTGAAAAATGAACTGTGAAGTAGCGAGGGACTACTGTATTATGTTTCATGAACAAAATGAGAAAAGAACAATGAACAGTTGGGAAACTATAATGTAGCAGTGGAAGTTTGTGAAGAGAATCAGAAACATATGGTCTTGGTGATTTCTCCCTGACTGGCAGGAGAATCTGTCTCTTGTCCCTTATTAGTTCAGATAAAAGAGACCAGGGAAGTGGAGGAGTGGTACTGACACTGTGGGTCAAGCTGCAGTTTGGTGTCTGCTTGGTAACACAAGTAGCATATAAAAGAATGGCTTAAAGGTGTAGTTCAGCCATTTTGAAGACATTAACATCAAACATAAAAAGAGTTGAATACCAGGAGAAATAAGTCTGATACATGACAAGAACTTGGTATCATTCAGGGAAATCCACAAAATAGACGGTCAGCAATCTCTACAGACAAGTACAGTAATGAGATCATCTGTAACGCTCCAATGAAGATAAATACCTAATGATTCAGCATCACATTTTGGTCTACATCAAGTTCAAACATGCACCACAACAACCACATCCACAAACACACTTGAACAAGGCAGGCAGAATGAGAAAACTCAGTGGTGTTATGACTATTCCCTGATGCAGCCAATGAAAATCAACAACACCACGATACCAAACAATAACCACAAAACCTCTTAACCACTCCAACAGGGAGAGAGGAAACACAAACATGAGAAACTGTGATGTCTTTACCGTTGGGAGGTGGTAAACTGAGATGCAGGGCTGTCCTAGGTTTAGGATCAGGTGGGGGGTCCTGTTTGAACCCTGAGGGGTGGGGAAGATCAAGGAACGAGGAGAAAATGAAGCAAGGAGTTGGTTGGACAAGCCTTTAGGCTGGGCTTGGTTTGTGATGTTGATTTTGAAGATGTATGATATTGTCATTAGCTTTAACAGTTTCATGGCTTCAGTTCAAGAACTCATGAAAAATAAACCTTCACAAGTAGTTAGAGTAGACCTGAATACACAGCAAACCAAGAAGGACTTTCTGTTTCCCATTATGGCTCAAGTCTATAGTGAACTGAGGGCCCCGCAGAGTAAGAGTTTCCAACACATGATTAATTGAGTATTTAACCACAGTCTATGCCAGGTGCAGTTAACTCAGCAGTCAAGCCACAGCACTCCAAAGCTAAGACGGTAACTGAGTGGACTGGAAAGTTGCTACTTTGTGAAAACTTAATTACATTCTTTTCAAAATAATTTACTGCTTTGTTTTAAAAAAATAAGGATTTCATCTTTTTTTTTCTTTGGGGAATACCTTGAAATGACATTATTAAGGTTCCTTTCACACTAGATGGTGACCCGGCTATGCTCCACATGATCTATACGATCTATTAGCCTATCACTGGATTGGGGCAAATTTGAAGAACCTTCTGTGTGAAGGCATTTGTGATGTTGTTGTGCTTTTGATACTCATCAAACAGTTATTTTTTCTACCCTTTTGGACCACATCATGGTGCAGCTATGTACTAAAAGATCAGCACAACTGTGTGTGGGTAAAATATTTGTGCAAAAGCGCTTCTGTGACCTTGTCACTACCCCAGCCACCACAGCCACAGGGCCATATTGAGGTACACAGGCCACATATCAATGATACGCTGTCTTCCTGCACCCCCATGATCGACACAGGCCCTTGTAAGCTACTACAACAGTGATAAACCACCATGAACTTGTAACTGTGGACATATCATGCTTTATCACATGTAATAGGTGGATTTTTATGTGCAACTGAAGACTTAGCTTAGACCCTATGAAGACCAGTCTGGCTGATTTTTAGGAATCAAGACTCATTTAAGTCATGTTAGGGTTGCCATCCCATGTGAAGGGGGCCTAAGGCACTTAGAGTGTCTTTGATTTAGTATTTTGGTCATTTTTATCTTATTTGACAGCAGCAATGATCCCAATAACTCATCCACCGTCTCCATTTGTCTCACACATGCCTTGATACCTCTGAAATAAGGGATGTAGTTGTGCTGCTGCAGCAGGGCCAGGGTAGTGGGGTTCAGCTGTAAAGACAAGCCTGCACTGACACCTGATGGTGTGGGTGAGAACTTGCCAATACCGCCACCACCACTCCCTTCAGCCCCCATGGAATAATACACAGGGAGAGAGGACGAATCTGTGGCCAAGGTGCAGGGGAACTTAGCACCACCCGAGTGGCTTATGGGTGGAAGGAGAGAACTGGAGTCACGGATTAGACTGTTGTTTTTACCACCAAGGTATACCTCTGGTTCTGGATGTCCATCTATATCACATAAGACAAATGAGTTAATGAGTAAAATTTTCACAAGTGGCTTCTAAAGCCAAGACAAAGAATTGTGATAGTGTTGTAAATCTATTCCATGAAATCAAAACCTATGAATAAAAGCCACTTCCCAAATTTACATCCTGATACTTTACAACAATTTTTATTATAATGCATTGTGGTTGTTTAAACTTTGTAGCCTACAGAGTTTGAAGCAGTTTTTCCACCATTATCACAGCAATGGCAATGCCATAAACAAGCTACAAAATTTAATTTGCTAGAGATGGCAGAATAAATCATTTTGATTTATAATACCATCACCATTGTGAAACATTGAAAAAAAAAAACCAACAACAATAACAAGACAGTAGATAAATTATTTGAACCATTTGCACCAGATGTCTTCTTTTGAATGGTGCAGAACTTCAGCCTGTGGTTCATTTGACACATAGTATTCATCCCTAATAAATCACTTAAAACAATGTCATAAATGGCAAAAATCATCCATGCAATAAATCACTACATGACAAAAATGTAGTTTGTATTCATGTTTACCTGCTCGGCTGTAGTTCTGAGGTGAACGAGATGGGGTGTACCGTCCATAGCCCCCTAAAGAGCTATTGGAGCTAGGGCTCGAGGGCCTCCGCTGACGGGGTGACCGCTCCCCTTCGCCCTGGATACATAAACAGAAAAAGAGGAGAAGAAAGGGAGCATTCTGATTTTGTCTCAGTTGCAGTATGACCCTTGAATCTGGAGAGTTTTTCATCTCTGATGGACATTAAACAGATTAGTCTTATTGCAAAAGTCACACAAAGTAATGAAGAAAGTATAATTAATTCAATTCAGTTTATTTTTAAAGTACCAAGACACAACAGAATTTGTCTCAGGTCACTGTACAAAAACATTCACATACATTATAAATGTCAAGTTATCTAAAAGTTATCTATCTAAAGAAGCCAGCAGATTGTGTTGAATCTTAACTTTGTCACAGTCTCCCATCCTGAGCAAGCACAAAGGAGACACAGGGTGAATATCTGGAAGATAAAGTTAGCAAGGCCAAACAGATAGTTTGGACAAGTTCAGAGGATGGACATTATATTGACATTATAACATCAGTCTTCTTCTTCTTCTTCTTCTTTCGGCTTGTCCCTCTTCAGGAGTCTCCACAGCGAGTCACTCTGTCCTCACTCCATCTATCTCCATGTCCTCTCTAACTGCATCCATATATCTCCTATTTGTCTTTTCCTGGCAGCTGCATTTCTAACATCCTTCTACCAGTATACCCACTGTCCCTCCTCGGGTCATGTCCAAACCATCTCAGTCTGGTCTCTCTAACTTTATCTCCCAGTTGTTCAACCTGTGCTGTACCTCTGATGATCTCATTCCCAAACTTATTCATCCTCAGGGCCGGCCCAAGCCTCCATGGGGCCCTATGCAAAATTTGGTTTGAGGTCCTCTATTTCTTCTAATAATGTGGATTACTGCAGTCAACAGTCAGATGATCAGATCATTCATCACCTAACATAAACTCATTGCAACTCTGACAGCCCTGTTTGGGGGCCCTGAAGACCTTTTTTTCTTTTCTGCATGTATAGAGAATGATTTACATGATCACACACACACACACACAATTTCATTATAAAGTTCTGTTTTTTTTTATTTTTTATTTACAATAAAAATTATATATATCCATCCATTATCTTTACCCGCTTATTCCATTTTTGGTCACGGGGGTTGCTGGTGCCCATGTCCAGCAATCACTGTGCGAGGGGCGGGGTACACCCTGGACGGGTCGCAAGTCCATCACAGGGCCACATAGAGACAAACGAGACAAACAACCATTCACTCTCTCACTCACACCTAGGGGCAATTTAGAGTTACCAATCAGCCTAACATGCATGTTTTTGGACTGTGGGAGGAAACCGGAGGACCCGGAGAAAACCCACGCATGCACGGAGAGAACATGCAAACTCCACCCAGAAAGGCCCCTGGACCGGGGTTTGAACCAAGGACCTGCTCACTGAGAGGCAGCAGCTCTCTCTCTCTCTCTCTCTCTCTCTCTCTCTCTCACTCTCTCTCTCTCTCTCTCT